GGGAAAGCGAAAGACACGATGATTTTTTGTGCTTGCGACCTCGATGATGAGCGATAAAACTGTGTTATCGTCCTGAAAACACAATGTGGATGGTTTCAAACAAGACTCTGAGGGTCCGGATGACCTGTGTGTTTTGATATTTCTATTTGGGGGGAGAGGGGGGTTACCTTGCTTGAGGTAATCGTGCAACACGGGCGTATGCCCGGCTGTGGGCGTCGTGCGAAAACGTCTTGTCGCGTCCCGAGACTGGTGTTGCGTTCAAGCACGCTGTTTGCTGCTGCAGGAGCCTTGTGTGTGCAGCTTCCGCGACATGTGCATGCATGCAAAGAGCACGCTTCGGGCTGCTCCAATTGCGGTCGGACAAGGCATTTAGCTCCATCGCCGGAGATATAGGAAAACCGTCGTCGTCGTGGCGCTGTTGGGGATGACGGCGTCGAGGTATATCCGTTAGCTCTGAACTCAGAAGGGTTATGTTACCAGTATTATATTGCGTCCCGAAAACTGCACAATAATAAATACCCACAACAAAAACAAACATCACCCAACATCGTATTTCACCGTTTTAATGAGCAATTGTAGCTAATTTTGTTTTTTTCGTTGCATGTCATGTACTTCGAACAAGTTTCCGTGTCATGCGCCGCGCTGGTACCGAGCTTTCCTGCGGCGTTTTTTGGACGCACCTCCACCCCGACTAACGACCTAACAATGTAACAGGCGGAGTTCGAGAAGGAAGACATCTACGAAGATCTGAAGCAGCAAGAGCAGAAGACCGACTTCAGCAAGATGTCGAAGCAGGCCGCGGAGGCGCTCAAGGCAGAGCTCCACGAGAAGCGATATATTGTGAGCTATGCATACGATGGTACATTATACAATGGTAGCTGCTTGTTGTGCTCTGTGTTGTTGGGTTGTTCGGTCGGTGTTGGTCTTCCCATTGATGTTGTTGTTGATGAATTGATGTTCTTTTTTTCTTGACTTAGAGCACGATGAGCATCGATGGTACTGTTGCAGGCCGTTGTTTTAATAGTTATGCTTGCTATTTGTGTGCGGTGTGTGTGTGTGTGGCGCCCCCCCACCCTTCCCGTCTGCCTAGCATACATGTTTACGGCTACCATGTGACGAAAGCTTAACCTGGCTTCAGGCGCTCCCGACACCGCTCTCGCGGTGGTGGGGCTCAAAGCAATCTCTTTTCAAAGCCCGATGGTATCTTCCGTACAGCAGTACTGCTGGATTTTCCTTCGTTGTTGTTTTTTCATGGCAATTTCGCACGAGCGAGCCGCCCGCCGACCCTTTTCAGTTTGTCTCTCGTTGACTGGCGTATATTTTCTGGTGATGTTTTGGTATTTCCTGTGGCTCACAGCCAGAGAGAAAGAGAGAGACAGCGAGAAACAGAAAGGTAGACAGACAGACAGACAGACAGAAGGACAGAAATATAGAGAGAAAAGGACAGACAGACAGAGAGAGAGAGAGAGAGAGAGAGAGAGAGAAAGAGAGAGAGAGAGAGAGAGAGAGAGAGAGAGAGAGAGAGAGAGAGAGAGAGAGAGAGAGAGAGAGAGAGAGAGAGAGAGAGAGAGAGAGAGAGAGAGAATGCGGACGTATTCGGTTGCCAGATGACGAACGCGTAGCCTGGCGGTCAGGCGCTTCCGACACCGCCCTTGCGGGCACCGTGGGGTAGAAAGCAATCTCTTTTCAAAGCCCGATGGCATCCACCGAACCCGAACCCGCTGCTTCCGCTGTATTATTTGCGTTCTATCGATGTTGGTTTTGTGGTACGTTGCGCTCACTCAAGCGCCGGCGCCAGTACGTTCGTCTACCGCGGAAGAACCTCCTTGTTTTGTTAGCAACGCTTGTTGCTGATTTGCTCCGTGGTGAATCCAACAGGAATTGTCTGTTGGTTCTAAGTGTAGGGTTGTCCAACAGGGATGATGCAATGAGTGTGGTGCTGTAGGGTTGTGGTCCATGTTCTGCATGTACTGATATTATAGATGTATGTCCTCATTTTCTCGCGTGGCGGCCGGTGCTCTGTACCGTCACGCTTAGAAAGCCTTTCCCTATAGACTTTTTTTTTGTTTTCCTTGTCTCTGTCGCATTGCTTCTGCCAACTATTTGCAAGTGCGGTGAAGTGAAAACACTGCGGTCTGCAACAGAGTCTCTGACGCTCTCCGTGTGGTGTGCCACGTTCGCTGCTGCTGCTGCTGCCGCTGCCGCCTCCTCCTCCGTGTTTTGTGTCTATCGGCCGCCCGGGCGAACCAGACGAAGCGACGCATGCTTGGCAACATCCAGTTCATCGGGGAGCTGTACAAGAAGAGCATGCTGAAGGAGAACGTGATGAAGACGTGCGTGGAGCAGCTGCTCAACGCCAAGAAGGAGGTCGCCACGGACAGGACGCTCAAGGCCCTCAAGTTCAAGAACATGGACGTGGACGAAGACAACCTAGAGGTTAGCACACACGCGCGCACACCATCAACCCACATGACTGTATCTAGTTGACACAGCAAGCGCAAGGATGATAATGACCAGCTTCTGGTTCATCCGTTTGAAACGTAGCCTGGACCGGCGAAAACGCCAGCATATCGCTCCGTCCTGGCATTGCAGGGATGCGAGGTCAATGGTATAAAGATGCGGCATGCATTTTTCATGAGCTCTCACCCACATTTTGTTGTTTGCCTCAACGCATCCCCCCTTTTTTCTCTCTACTTGGGAGGTCTTATTTTTTGCCTTATTTTTCATGACAGTTTTTTTTTTGTTTTACACTGGAGTCGTGGCTAATTGGTGTCCTTGTTAACGACGTTGTGCGAGTTTGTGTCTGGTGTATGTTTAGGGTCTGTGAACGACCTGGTCACCGCAACAATGGGGGGTGGGTCACTACATCATGAATTCTGGAGTTTCGTACGACAAACAACCGCGTGGCCACTGCTATAAACATGTGGTTTTTGGTCCCGCATCACGCGCAACTTGGCTAACGTGACTGCTGCTGTCTTTTTTGTTTGTTTTTTTTGCAGGCTCTGGGCAAGCTGATCCGAACGATCGGGTCGACGCTGGACACGAGCAAGAACACCTTGTACATGAAGGAGATCTTCCGCCTCATGGACAAGATCGCCAACAACAAGTCCATCAACTCCCGCATGAGGTTCATGATCAGGGATCTGGAAGAGCTGCGGGTGAGATGGACAGAAGACGAGACTATGTCGATAAAAAGATGGGGCCATTTGTGCTGCTGTTGTGTTGTTTTGACAAGACCCGTCCGACAGGCAGGCGGACGAACGTAATGAACGGGTACATCGTCTTTCGGTGATTTTATGCTCACTTTCTATGAAAACACAAACTTTGAGCTAAGGGTGTGTGTGTGACAGGACGAGCTGCGGATGAGATGAGAGACGCGTCACACCCTCACTCCCTCATCTTCTCGCCCGTCCCTGCGGTTGTGTGCCGGCGTTTTTTTTGTTGTTGTATTTTTCGTCCGTGAACCTCTTTGTTTTTGTCCCGCGTACCGAGCGCAGAAGCACAACTGGGTACCAAGGCGCAAGCAGGACAAGGCTAAGACCCTGGACGACATCCGTAAGGAGGCGGAGGCGGAGGCCAGGGGCGGGGGACCCCCGGGGTGAGTCTTGCCCTCTGCTCGTCGTTAGCACCCCCAGCAGCAGTACTGTAGCAGTTTGGGCTAGGGTTAGTTAGCAGTATTTCTGCCAGACGTGCAATAGTAGCGGCAGCAGCAGTCTAGAAGCTTGTGATTTGTTTGAGTTATGTCACGCGGACAACTTTTTAGCCGATGCGAAAAGCCGGCCCAAAAATGTCCTGTCTCCGGATAAACTCCTGTTTGGAGCACAGTATCAATTTTGTCGTCCTCGGTTGGGTTTGGACCGTTATCTTTTCGTGTTTCCGCTGCAGGCCGAAGAGAGAAGGGCTTCTCCCATCACGGCTAGCTTCACAAGCATTGTGTTGTCTTTGTTTCCGTTGCGTGCCCCCCTTGATAAGCCATCACCATCCCTTGTTACGACCTTTTTTTGTGTTCACTTTGGTTCGCCTTTGGGGGCTCCGTGTTATCGAAACAGGAGGGGGGGCTCCTCGCGCGGCGGAGGCTCCAATGACTTTAGGGGCGGGCAGGGGGGACCGCAAGACGTTAGAGCAACGAGAAGGGCGGAGCAGAGAGGGGGCGGCGGCAGCGGCCCGATTGACGGGTGAGTTGTTTGCTACTTTCATGGCGGAAGGGCGGAAGGTTGTTGTCGTTGTCGTCGTTACTTGGAACGAGTACTTTCGTGGTGACGCCGTACAATGTACCCCCTCTAACGACTAGGGCATGCACGACTATGAGTACCCCCCCTCCCCCCCCTGCGTGACGTTCCAAAACAACACAGCTTCCAACACCAGAGGGGCGGCTCCGACCGACGACACCAGGACTCAAGGTACGGTGGCCAGCAGCAGCAACAGCAACAGCAGCCGGGAGGAAGAGATCCCCGCAGCTCCAGGCGGCTCGAGCAGCAGCAGCAGCAGCAGCAGTCCGCCCGCGCCGGTGCGGGGGGGGCAGGGGACCGCCGGGGCGGAGACGACCGGAGAGGGGGAGCGGGACCGTCGGCTGCGCCGACGTCGTTGGCGTCGCCGCCGCCGCCCGCCGCGTCGCCGCCGCAGGTGGAGGAGCCTAGCGAGAAGCTGGTGAACAAGATCAACGGGTTCGTGAATGAGTTCGTCTCTGAGAAGGACAAGGACGAGGCGCTCCTGGTAAGTTTGTGTACAGTATGGGGCCTGGGTGATGGACTCTGCTTGAACGGCGCCTTATTTTTGAGATACTGTAGACACAAACTCAGAGAGATGCTGCGTAGTTCCCCTTCGGAGGTACAATTACAGCAGTTGCTTTTTGTCCGGGTAACGGGCTGCTAAAACGCGTTTATTTTAGGAAATCTGTTGACACAGACACACCCTGTGACCACAGTCGCTTTTTTTCACGCACCTGAAGAATCGACGCTCGGTGTGCTAGATAGATTACCCTTCCCGACAGTCTTTCGATGAACCCCCGGCGGAAATGGTCAACGGTCTAACCGGCATGCAACACATGAGAGTACCCCCCCCCCCCCCCCCCCCC